TCCAAGTCTGAATAGCCATACTTTGCCAGGCATTCTTTCAAGTAAAAATGATGTTCTATGAAAAAAAGTAGCTAGTTCTGCTTGCAACTCACACAACTACACGCTTTCCCTTGAATCAACCACTGTATTCTGGTATGCAGCAGAAGTGCTTTACTTGTACTTCCAGTTCATCAGACAGTATTAAAAAAGACACGAGACTCCCTAAAATTAGTAACTTTTACTGCTTCATCAAGGGAATACATCCTTAAGTGAAACTGGCATCACTTAAACTTCACAAACATAGTAGTGAAGATTATGATGAATATAGATAGCAATTTGGTGCCACTGCTTTGGTTCATACTAAGCGGCCAGCAGTTTTACCCATCCTTGCCTTTACACCACCACTGCAAGTGTGAACGCAGCAAAAAGGGCAAATAACGTCTTAATATGATTATGAAAATATTTTAGACCTTACAGACTACCTAAAAGGGTCTCAGCCACCCCCCAGGGTTCCTCAGATCACACTTTGAAAACCACTAATCCAACCACTAATCTCTTGAGGAATTTCTCTGTAAACAATGAACCCCTGTGACTACTCTAACCCAAGATACCAAGAGGAAAACGAACCAATCAACCTCCTAGAATAAGGAGTCTCTGAATGACAACTATGTGGTAGCTGGAAAGGCTCCTCATAGACAGGTAAGAGGAGACTGGAGATCTCTGCTTTCTGAAAAACAACTGACTTAGATGGTCAGTAATTTTTTTTCTCCCATTCCTACACCAAGAGTAGGAGAATCTATGACAAACCTCAAGTTAGAAGATGGAAAACAAATATGATAACAATGCTACTGAAAAGACTTTTATCAGAAAATTGGGGTTTTTTAAAGAAAAGTTCTTCAAAATGTAAATCTTAATCTACTTCCATTTTATAAAAGCTGAAATAATTTATCTTTTTTATGAACAGTCAGATCCTGACCACATTACTGTTGTTATAAACACTACCTGTTTTAAATGAGAAAATTTCCATTTCTTTGAGTACACATAATTTACTAATACTTCATGTACAGAATCTGATACAATTCCAAGTGTTTCTGATTTGACAACAAAATCATAAAATCTTACAAGAGAAACAAAGAAACATCTATTTGCTTGCCATTTTATGTCCAATATCTAGCTCAGCTCTTGTATAAAATAAGATGTTCAGTAAACACCATTAACATTGCAATAGTTGAAATGGGTAAGAACACAGGTCTCCAGACAACCAGTACAACTAGTGCTTTATGAAATCTATTTCATTGTTCTCTGGAACATCATCTCAAATAAACCCAAGGGAACTATTACAACTTATCCTGAGAAAATACAACATTACCTGTTACGCTTTACATCTGAAAGGCCACTACAGACTCAGTGTTTCACATGTTCTCATTTAGATCACATTTCAATATCAAAACAGATAGCTTCATCATGCTCATTTTTAAATATGTGCCATCTGAGCCAAGCAGTAACTTCTATTCCTACTTGAAGAACTGGCAATAACCACTTTAACTCAATCATCATACACTGACTGTGCTACTCTTATACACACTATACTAAATTTTCTCTGATGATTCAGAATGGTTCTTTATTTCCTAGTTCCTAAGTGTCTCGTATTTGAGACACTTATTGCCTTATAAAAACTTGTAAAGACCAAGAAGACTGTATATAGTACCTTTGATATTAATTTATCACCATAGCTTTTTCTTTTTTAAATGTTTCCTGTCAGTATGACATTTATCATTGCTTCTCTCACAAGAGCACAATGGAGAAAACATCAAGTACTTGAACTATCTAGTTATTTAGATTCTGGATTAAAAAAGAGATTAATCAAATTTAAACTAATTAAGGCCAGCAAGCACAAAACTGAAATTCAATCATAGAAATGGCATAAACGTAAAGAATGTAAGTGATCAATTTAGGAATTGAAGCTACCTCAAATCACGTTTCATTTTAAAGTACCATTATGAATATGACCTCATTTCACTGCATATAGTCATTCTGCAGAAAAACGTGACCTACCAAGAAGACAGCCAAAGAAAATGGCCTTCTGTTGAAATAAAAGGATTTGAACTCGATATTCCTTAAAGTGGAATGTCAGTAAAGACTTTGGGAGGAGACCATGGGCTCCATCTTCTCTGGAGGTTTAAAAAGAAAAAGACTTTTCGAATGTCTGGGATGGCTTAGACTTGGCCTCACATTGGGCAACTTCCAGACAGAATCAGTTCAAAGGTCAGTCTGACCCACGCAATTCAAGTCCCGTAGGTCAGTCACGCAAACGAGTCATTAGCAAACTGCATCTTCTGCTCTGCCACCATCCAGGGAGTCCCTGCTTTGATAATTACCAACCTTACCCATGAAATTACCCTAACTGCTAATTAACATGTCAGTTGTACAGAATTATTTCTTCCAGCTCCTGAAACTTTTGCTTCTCACTAGCGTCCTTTAATCCTGTTTTTCTAACATTACCAGAGAGGGAAATATTTTGCGGTACAGTCAGTATCTGCCCTCTTAACAATGCCCTGTTCCGTTATCCTATCCAAACATGGATTCCACTCTGAATTTCAGAAACAGTGGCAGGAAAAAAAAAAAAAAACAAAAAACAAAAAACAAAAAAAAAACAGATAACACAGAAATTAGAGCTCTGAGGTTTAACTTACGGCCAAAATCAAAAGAGAAGAGACAATTCAGAGAGAGGAAGGAAGAAGCTGAGAGGGTCGTAGTGTAGAACACTTACTTTTAGGAACAGAGTGTCCCTTAGACTTCTGGTGAGTTGCCCAGAGCCTCTTCAGTTTCAATCCAAATGACAATGCTTCTCTGAGTCCTCCTCAAGTAATGTTTCCACCACTAAAAAAACTGGATCTACAAGAGCTCAGATGTACTGGTAAAAAAGTATCAGGGGCCCCCATGTGGGCCTGAAGCCTCTTTTACACTAGGCCCACTTCTCTGTCCTGGGCCAACTCCCCTGTGCACTATATTCCTTCTTCTTCCAGGTGCCAGGTATTCAGCCTGTTTCTTCTCTTCTGAGCTGCCACCACCTACTCTATTTTCTCAGGGTTCCTCTAACCCCAAGACTGGCTGTGGAGTAGGACAACAGCTTCCCCCCTTCCTTGCTGTCCCTGCAAATAAACATATAGGCTCTTCTAGTTTCAGTATTTTTTTCTAATGGCTACAAGAAAATAGAAAGGGAACAACAAAAAGCAACAACATCGTACCAGAGATTAAGATTATAAAATAATTGTCTCCACTTTAAAAGTCCCTGCCTGGAAAAACCACATTTTCTGAAAATTGCTTGAGTGTTTTAAGAAGTACAAAGTACTAACATAGATATACAAATATATTCTAAACCAAATCCAACCTTATATAAAAAATAAAGATATCCTACTTTTCAAAATACTTAAAGCACGGGTCCAAAAATTGTTGCCATGTTCACTTTAGCAAATAGGTGCTTTTTTTTTTCTTTTTAGAATGTTTCTTTTTAGAATGTTTTAGAATGTTTTAGAAGTTTGCTTCTTGAAGGATACCATGAAAAATGCTCTACATATTTTATCCAATGTAAATGAGATTTTAATATGTAAAAAGCATATTAGGATCCACGAAAAGACAAGTATGTGAAATGCAGCTAGCTCCTAACTAAACAAATCTTAAAATTTATTTCCAACCATTTCTGCCTCTACCTTTAAAAAAAAATGTCATAAATTGTTGTAAATGGTGTTTCAAAACCTGGTTATCTCATTTTTAGGGTTCTAACTTCTACCGAATATATAAATCTAATGTCAATACCAAATAGGCCTTTTTTAAAGCAAGTCTATCACATCAGTATACCTATACCCATGAGTTTCTAACAGACTTTTTTTTAATATCAAGGCACATGATATCTAAATATGAGCTATAAATCCCATGCTTACAATAAATTCCAAGGCTACTTTCCTATAAAGGAGAAGGAACTCTGAAACGAAGCGTTGGCAGATCAAGAACGTCAGACTCTGAATTTCCTGTATGATTTTCTTTATCCACTTAATCCACTAAGTGGTTTTTTTTTTAAAAGACTGAGCTATTATACTGTAGGCCTACAATAAAATAAAAACTGAAAATAGGCAGCGATCATTTCATCTCATTTGTATAGCCTAATAGATTGCCATTTCATCAAACTAAAAATACTCAAGATACTTTCAGCAAAAAAAAAAAAAAAAATGTGTCCCTGTGACCGGGCTCACCTCCAACTATTTATAAAATCTTAGAGAATAAGGTTAAAAATACTAACCGAAACGTTGATCTAGCCGTTCCAGACGTCTATATATAAAATAAAGGAAGTTTAACCTATTGTGTATTCTAGAATCAAATACTTTTTCTTTCTTTGCTTTTGGAAGAACGAAATTAAATTCTACCTTTGGCTTTCTCCAGAGTGTTTCATGGTTTTTTTTTTTCCCCCTTTGATTCCTAGAATCAAATACTTTTTTTTTTCTTTTTTTTTGGAAGAACGAAATTAAATTCTACCTTTGGCTTTCTCCAGAGTGTTTCATGGTTTTTTTTTTTTCCCCCTTTGATTCCTGGAATCAAATACTTTTTTTTCTTTTTCTTTTTTTGGAAGAACGAAATTAAATTCTACCTTTGGCTTTCTCCAGAGTGTTTCATGTCTTTTTTTTTTTTTTTTTCTCTTTGATTCCTACACACTAACACAACAATGCAGCCAACATCATTACACCCGGAATGGGAGGCCGGCGGGGGCATCACACCCAGCGATACGAATTAAATCGCAGGAGCTAATGCCTCCCCTTCAATAGTTTATTCTCTCTTGGCAGCAAGCTAACTAACGTTCCGGCCTCTTCAATCACCCGTCACCGCAAACCGCGGCTCGGGGCGCGATCAACGGGACCCAGGTCCTGTGGCGGCCGCCACCTCGCTCCCGCCGGGGCTGCGGTGTCACGGGAGGGGCGGCCTCCGCAGGGGCGGCCGACGACGGCGCGCCGGGCAGGCCCGCGACTCACCGGGTGGAGGTGCCCTTCCGCACATCGCACATCATGCACTTGAAGGCCTCGGCGCTGTTCCGGAAGGTGCAGACGCTACAGTCCCAGTAGCCCTCATCCGAGGACGGCTTCGGCTGCCGCTTCGGCCTGCAGGACACAACCCGGACACGACGCGGCGCGGGGTCACCGGCAGGCCGCGCCCGGCGCTCGCGCCCCGCGGCCGCCCCCGCCCCGCCCCCCGCCCCAGTTCCGCGACCCCGCGCCCCCCCCCCCGCGCCCCGCGCCCCGCGCCTCCCCGAGCGAGGGGGAGGGCGCGGCCGCAGTCGCCGCCGCTCTGACACCCGCGGCCGCCGCCATCGCGGCTCCATTGTGGGGCGGCCGGCGCCGGCCCCTCACACGCGGCAGCGGCAGCGGCAGCGGCAGCGGCAGCGGCAGCGGCGCCGCCCTCGGTGTGGCCCCGCCGCCCGGGCGGCGAGCGAGCGAGCCGAGGAAGCCCGGCGCTCGGGCCCCGCCGCCTGCGCACCGCCCGGGCCCCGTTACCTGGTGGGGCTCTTCTTGTCTCCCATGGCTTGGCTACCGCCGCACGCCGAGCTCGCCGCCGCCGCCGCCGCCGCCGCTCTGTTTGTCAATAAGGAGGATAATAAGCCGGGGCGGAAGCGGGCGGGGGGAGGAGGAGGAGGAGGAGGAGGAGGGGGCGGGGAAGGCCGCAGCGCCGAGCTCGCGAGCCGCCGCCCGCCGCCGCCGCCGCCGCCGCCGCCGGAGCCCACGCAGCCTCCAGCTGTCGGGGAAACTCCTGCCTGGGCGCACGTGACCCGCGCCGGCCAATCAGCGGCGGCGCCGGAGACTTCAAACGCGGCCAGCGCGGCCCAGCGCCCGCGGCCGGTCGGCGGGGGCGGCCGCCGCCGCAGCCTCCCCGCCGGGGCCGCCCGCCGCGTGACCCCTCACGGCCCGAGCTGGCGGCGGCTCCGGGAGGCTGAGGAGGAGGAGGAGGAGGAGGAGGAGGAGGAGGAGGTGGGGCCGCTCCTGCTGCTGCTGCTGCTGCTGCTGCTGCTGCCGCCGCCGCCGCCGCCCCGCCAGCCCGCGGGACGACGGCCGCCCCGCTCGGGAGGACAGCCCGGCCGCGGTCCTCAGGTAGGGCCGCGCGCCCGGCCCCGCCCGGGGGCTCACCTGGGGGCTCACCTGGGGGAAGGCGGGAACCAGGCCCGAGCGCGGGCCTTAAGGGGGGGGGGAGGGCGGGGACTTGAAATCCCAATTTCTCTGCACGCGAATCTCTGCCGAGAAGGTATCGTCGCCCTTAAATTAGAGGAAACGAAACCGAGGCCCGAGAGAGGTGAGGTGACTTCCCCCGTATTATTATATAATGAGAAGGTGACAAAGGCAGGACTTTAACCTTGGTTTTAATTCCAAATGCATAAAAAAAAATTCCAAATGCATCCTTTTGCCCCCCCCACACTATTTATAATAGCTTAAAAAAATAGTAACTCATAAGCCCTTTTTCTTTCTCTCTCTCTCTTTTTAATTTTTTTTAAATTTTTTTAATTCTTATTTATTTATGATAGTCACAGGGGGAGAGAGAGAGAGAGAGAGAGAAGCAGGCTCCATGCACCGGGAGCCCGACGTGGGATTCGATCCCGGGTCTCCAGGATCGCGCCCTGGGCCTAAGGCAGGCGCCAAACCGCTGAGCCACCCAGGGATCCCCTCTCTCTTTTTTTTTTTAAATAACGAGTTCACGTGTCCCCTGGAGGCTGCTGACTGAGAAAGGAACACGTCTCTCCCGAGCCTCGTTGCCTCCACACACCGGATGCGTCGACCTGGCCCCGCGAAGCTCCAGCCCTACTTCCTCAATCTATTCGGTAATCTGCAACCAGATTGAAAATAAAATGCAGACGACGTTAGGCCACCATCCGATCTGGCAGTTTGCTAACGGCTCTCAGACTCCAGAGCCTGGCATTCAAGAATTTCCACTTTCAAAAAAAAAAAAAAAAAAAGAATTTCCACTTTCTCCCTACCTCCCTCTCCCTATGCGACTCCCCCCCCCCCCATCAGAAAAGCTGCCTCCTGGCGAAGACAGCGGATGAAACTCCTGTATTGAGTCCCCAAAACTCTTCCTTCGCCTATGTGTGGCTTCCTCCTGCATATTTTCCTCTTCTCTCCGTTTGTACTGTCTCTACCCCATCTCTCTCGGTTCACAGCGAGTCCGAATTCTGTGAAATAGTAACTCTAATAACTGAAAGAACTATAAAGGGACTAGTGAAGTCAGGAGTCCCGGGTTTTCAGCCTACTTTCCCGGTTCCTCCGCTGATGGACCTTGGAAATTGGGCTTCATTTCTGTGACTCTCAACCTCTTCATCTGCAAAATGTTACCTGTATTTATTATGAGGTTGTGTAATTAATAAAATAGCTGACAGTTTTTTTTTTTAGCATTGCATGCCAGGCACTTTGTAGATCTCTTCACGCAGATGCATTTAAAAAAAAAGGGGGGGGGGACTCAAAGTATTATGCAAATGTCCTCATCAGGTAGCCTATCCCTTCATTTGAAAGACAAGGATCAAATGGTTTTTCTTTAATGAAAAGGGCGAGATTAGAGCTCAGATAGCTTCTTTATCTTTTACCAAACCATGGTTTCTGATTAACCAAATCAACCCAATTTACAGCAGTCCCTGAACTCACTGCAACATGTGTACTTTTTGAAAGTGTCAGTTATCCAGACTCTGACCTCAAATTGGAAACCATGAGGAATATGATTGAGAAGAGCAAGCGAGAGGAGATCTAAGGCCTAGTCCTCAATCTCTTAGTGATACAGTGAGCAAACTTAGGTAAGTCTCTTGTGTAATATAAGGGAATTAAAACTTTTTTTAAGTTTTTTTAGGAATTAAAACTATTACCTAAAGTCCCTTCCAAGTCTAAGGCATTATGATGTTTTAAAATTTCTCAACTAGATGGATCATCAAGGAGACTGGCAGGAACTGGTCTACTTGCAAAAGTGCTGGCAACAATGTATTTTTAAGTCTAAAGAAAACCAAATCAGAGCTAAAACTGTCCCATGCTGCACATCACCATTTCACTAGAATACAACCTCCACCACTGGGAAGTAAACTCCACTTCTGAATTATTTAATCAAAAAGGGCTTGGTTTTATTTTTATTTTTAACTTTTATTTTTCATCTTCTTCACTGCATGTCCAGCCCCTAGAATCCTAGAATAGTCTGACACCTAGTTGGTAGTCAGTAAATATTCTGAGAATGAATACATTCATTTACATTTATGTCCCTATTCTTTTTTTAATATTTTTTAAGATTTTATTTATTTATTCATTATAGACAGAGAGAGAGAAAGAGAGGGGCAGAGACACAGGCAGAGGGAGAAGCAGGCTCTATGCAGGGAGCCGGATGTGGGACTCAATCCTGGGTCTCCAGGACCACGCCCTGAGCCAAAGGCAGACGCTCAATTGCTGAGCCATACAGGCATCCCAATATGTGGCAGTTCTTGAATGAGATAGGTTTTCATAACAGGAGTTACAGCCTGAGCATATTGTATGCAGAGGATGGTCAATCAAAGCTGAAATTTGTAACATCCCTTCCAACTGAACTTTACAACTCTGCAAAGTATGCTAACCCTTTTAGAAGAGCTAGGAACCCAGTTTCTGTGGAATACAAAAGCACATGCCCTTGCACTAAACCAGCTGCCTCCTATTTATTGATGCTTCTTTTAGAAAAACCCCTTCAGGAAAAAAAAAAAAAAGAAAGAAAGAAAAAAGAAAAACCCCTTCAGGGCAGCCCCCATAGCTCAGCGGTTTAGCGCCGCCTGCAGCCCAGGGCGGAGATCCTAGAGACCCTGGATCAAGTCCCGCTTTGGGCTCTCTGTGTGGAGCCTGCTTCTCCCTCTGCCTGTGTCTGCCTCTCTCTCTCTGTGTGTATCTCTCATGAATAAATAAATAAAACCTTTAAAAAATAAAGTCTTGAAATTTTCTAATTATTTGCCTTATACAAATTAAAATAATCCTTAGGTCATTGATATAATAGTACTTGTTTCCATTCTAATATGCTTCCTAAAATGGCAGAGACGGAGAAAGTTACTGAAGCTGTATGGGATCCTGTATACAGGTGAACAGTAATCTACCCTCTTGAGATGGATGAAGAGATTGAGAGCCTCTTAGATCAAGAAACTGATGGTGGGATCCCAGAGACCCCAGGAGCTTCCAATTAGCCGTGAGTTTCTAGCAAGGAGGCAAACACAGAAATAAGAGCTATGTGTTAAACTTTTCTATGTAGTTATTTGGCAAGAGGAGCTGATACCTGAAGTAAAACTGCAATGTGAAGAAAATGGTATAACTGAGGGAAAAATGAGCTACAAGTCTTCCCTGAAGGAACTTGGAATGCAGGAGAACAATAATTAACTGCAATTGTAAAAGCAATCACATTTTAAAAGATTGATTTTGGGGGGTTTTGTTTAGTTGGTTTTATTTTTGTAAAGCAGAGGTACCTTTCCTGATTTTGTTCATTATAAAACTTATATGTTACCACTCCAACAGTTTCTAGGTACCAAAATAAAGCAGAGAGGCAGAGTGGTTTTAACAAAAGAAATTTATTTTCTCACAATTCCAGAAGCTCTAGTGTGAAATCAGGGTGTCAGCAGGGTTGGGTTTTTCTGAGGCCTCTCTCACTGACTTCTAGATAGCCACTTTCGTTCTGTCTCCACATAGTCTTCTGTGTATGACTGTGTCCTAATCTCTTCTTAGAAGGACACCAGTCATATTAGATTAGGGCATCCCCTAATGACCTCATTTTATCTCAATTACCTCTTTGAATGTCCTATCCCCAAATATAGTCACGTTCTGATGTACTGGGGAATTAGAACTTCAACATGAAGCTGCAGGGAGGGCAGCCCAGGTGGCTCAGCCGTTTAGCACCACCTTCAGCCCAGGGCGTGATCCTGGAAACCCAGGATCGAGTCCCGCGTTGGGCTCCCTGCGTGGAGCCTATTTCTTCCTCTGCCTGTGTCTCTGCCTCTTTGTGTGTGTCTCATGAATAAATAAAATCATTTAAAAAAAAAAAGAATCTGCAGGGAGGACTGGCATAATTAAGTTCGTAACACCAGCATAAAGAGGTCAGCAAAGATTTTTTAAATTAACGTTTCCAGTGTATTCTTATAACATTACTAGTACAGGTTCACAGTCCTCGTCTGAAGCCTTCAGGCTGGATAGATTTCATTAGTAAGACATTTTGGGATTTTCAAAAGGCATTATGGTACAAATACTACATAATTACATAACCCTACAAGTGGGTTATCAAATAGTGCCCTATGATCAAATGCATTAATATTTCTGTAAAATATTTAAGATTCACCCCATGTGGGAATATAAAGTCCATAAATCACCTCACCTCAGTGCTACTCCGGTTTTACTACTGAATTATTACAAACCAGGTAAAATATGAAAATGCTTTCAGTTTTCAGTGATTTTTGAGTTACAGGATTATAGAAAAAGGATTGTGCATTTGAAAGAACATGAGGACAAAATAAGATTGAAAAGATTAAGATTAAAAACAAACATTCACGCTCTTTTTTTTTTCCCCTTTTTGGTAAGTATACTCTTTAATCCCCATCCCCTATTACCCTGTTTCCCCTCACTTACCTCCCCTTGTGTAACAATCCATCTGTTCTCTGTAGTTAAGAGTCTTGGTTTATCTCAGTCTCTCTCTCTCTCTCTTTTTTGTCTTTGTTCATTTGT